TTTTGATAAAGGAAGCAAGCGAAATTAAGGTACCTGTTTTATTTTTTCTCGTTTATATTCAATGAAAGGCAAATTTTCTAAGTCCAAAGAGGCACCGAAAATCCGTTAAGGCCAAAATAATACGAAATCTTTCAATAAAGATCGAATTCTTCTGATTCGTATGGAGTTTTGCTGTGCTTTAAACACGCAAAATGTTTGATTCAAAGTTCCCGTCAAACTTGTAAAAATGGACTTAGCAACTTTTCAGCCAGCGATATGTTAAATATAAATATGGAAACATATAATCATTTTTATTAAACTTTGATTTACTTATATTATATATATATTTTTTATTATGCAAGCAAAGTTTTGTTCATTAAGGGAGGTACGTATGCTTTTCTGTGTGACTGTATCTGTAGACGAAACAACGCGTATTTGCAAGTGATTATGGATATATTTTGTTCTTCGGCGTTGCCTTGCGCATTTGCACACTTTGCTGAGCATGCAAAAAATACCCCCAGATTTCTCTCAATAGAAATTTTTTAGAAATGTTCATAATCTCTCTCAGTGCATGCCCATATTTATGCCTGGATGTGTTTGTGCATCTACATATATATGTATGTAAAAATAATTTAGTACCTATAACTAATCGTTTTCATTAAGTAATTTTTTCGGTGAAGTAGTATTAAATACATATCAAAAGCGCAATAAAATCCATGATTTGTCCATGTATTTGAAAAATTATGTTTTTTGGGATTAACTGAGGTGTTTCCCACTTTCATGCCGCATACCTAGCAACACTGGTCTTTTGGTTTTGCATGTGCATTAGGGTGGTCCAAAATAAGAAAAGTCGGAATTTTAATGCTCTCACCCCCTTGGATTGTTCTATATCGAAAAAATATACCGCCATTTTTTTATTTTGAAACCAAAGCATTTTTACAAGTCGCTCAAAGCGCTCAAAGTTTTCTATGTATTATTAGGCAGAAAACAACTTTTTGTAGAAATAGTATGGAATTCTTGAAAATCTATATTTTTCGATCGGAAAATTCTGCGTTGCATTTTTTTTGGCAGTTGCTGGGGTTTTTTGCGGACCTATACAATATAGTTATTATGAAAAAAATGGTTAAATAAAGAATTGGTTATTATTATTGGGAATCTCATGAAGAGAAAAGGAGTTTTCCGATCGAAAAATATGGATTTTCAAAAATTATATACCATTTCTACAAAAAGTGGTTTTTTTGTTCATATAAAATACATGGAAAACTTTAAGCGCTTTGAGCGACTTACAAATATTTTTTTGATTTCAATATAAAAAATAGGGGTATATATTTTTCGGTATAGAACAATCCTAGGGGTTGAGATCATACAAGTTCCGACTTTACTTTTTCCCACATGCATTTTTGGACCACCCTAATGTACATACATATGTAAGAATTTGAGAACAGAAATATTTTATCTCCTTTGTTTGAGATATACATAAGTACATATGTATGTATGCGCGTAAATATGTATGCTTTTTAGGGACACCTGTTACATCAACGAGCCCTCGGAATATACAACCATTTTAGGTCAGCCGGGCGCACACTAAATTACAAAGAGTAGATGTACATACCCGTATGTAGAATGCACAATGTAAATACAAATAGGTATGTACTAGAGTTGGATTTTTTAGTTCACTTTAGAGATTAGTTCACTTCTAGTTCTTTCTGCTCAATGAACTAGCTCTTCTGAGTCTTAGTTCGTTCACCTTATTAAACTATAGTTCACCTTATTGAACTATAGATAGTTCACCTAATTGAACTAGCTCGGTAGTAGGAGCTGAGTTATAAAACAACAAAAGTGTATTTTTTATAACACATATGTACATACATACATATAATAGATTGCAATAACGACACAATCCAGTCGTCTTCATTCATTCGTCCTTCTCCAAAATCGTGAAAGGAGTTTTATGGAAATGCGGCAGTGTCTGCATTTAATATTCTTTTCTTGAATTATGCCTTCGAAATGCGAGAAAATTGCCTTCGCTTTTGCATCTGAAAAACAAAATCTGTTATTAAACAACAAATCCCAAAAACTCAATTGAAATACTTAGTTTTTAACACTAATCGCACTAACGATGTAGAACATTGAAAATTAAATGAAATAAAATGTCTTCTTAGCGCGAATTCTCTGTTTCAGCTGTTTCTTTATGCCCTTACAACGAAAAAGGAGTACCTACCCATATGTGTTGTAAAATTGCATTTCCATTTTTATCGGAGTGTTGCCACAGAAAGCTTTAGCTCACTTTAATGAACGAAATAATGTACTAGTTCAATTATAAAAGCTGGCACTTTCGCTTTTTAGTTCAAAAGCTCCCCAAGTCTAGTATGTACATATGTATGTTCATACAACTTAACTCTTCTCCTCCCTGTGGGGAAAATCTCTTGTTCTGAACTGGTGCGCTTCTAGTACATTTAGACCCAGTACTGGTTCCCGATAAATCTCTTTTGCATGCAAGCAACTGGCGAATTTAACATGGCGATGTCCTAGCAAGTGTCAATTGCCCCTCGCTGCATCCCTTTTTCGATAGTTCTGAACTAGTCCTATATTCTATAGTTCCGAACCAGTTCTAAAATCGACAGACGAAAGAAAAAAGTATCATAATTTTTCAATCTTTTTGGTTCTTCCGTGTGTGCGCTTTTAAGTTATTTTGGAAGAAATGTGTTTTCAATTTGAAATTAAATTTGTTTGAATGATTGTAAGAAATACACGTTTACATACCTTTAGCTGTAGCTGAGTTTGCAGAGGTGCTCGCTGTTAGATTCCAGACGGTCCCAAGATGTTGAAATGTTAACACAAATTTTAGTTTTGTATTACCAAGCTATAAAAAAGCATCTGCGAAATGCAGAATAGAAGCGTATTTGAACGAAGAAGCCGCCGAACACATATCTATGTAAAGTAAACAAGCCCCCCGCTGCATCCCTTATTCAATAGTTCCGAACTAGTTCTAAATTCGACAAATAAGATCTAGTTCTTCTGCATCCCTTTTTCTATAGTTCCGAACCATTTCTGAATTCGTCACTTTAGATATAGTGAAAACACTGAACAAAATTAGTTTTTTAAAAGTACCACTTTTCGCCGATTTTTGGACTGGTGGGGATCTAGTTCCTATCGGACTAGCTCCTTTTTGGCGATAAAGACCTAGTACGGAACTAGAAATTTGATTCACTAGTCCGCGGTTTCCCTGCAGGGCTTATTTGGAACTCCATATGTATATAAGTACAACCACTGGTTGCTAGGGCTGAGACCACCTTCTTTTGCGAAGCTCCGCCAGTTGATTACACCGGAAACACTTAAGTCCTTTTGCATTTGGCTCTCCGATTAGTTTTGAGGCGCCCCTGCTTGCTTTGTCAAACCTTGGATGCCGAGTCGGGGAACATTTGGTCGGAGCACCATTATGTATGTATGTATACATACGTCATCGTTCGGCTACGATGGTTTCTGTGATAGTCCCGACTTATAGACTATTTCCACCAAAAGCTTCAGAGGTCAGGTAGGTTGTAAGAATTTTCACATGGGGTGATCGGCGGGGGTTATTTCTTACGTTTTGACTTTTTACTTTGGTTTTCTTATACTTATCATAAGCAGTTACCCCCTTCAATAGGCATAAACTGCAATTAAGGCTTGGTGAGAATAAATTATTAGTTTGAAAACAAATAAAAATATGTATTTTATTCGCTTTTAAGTCCGCTCAATATAATATGTTTAAATAAAATAGTATTTGTGTAACCCTGCTCCTGTGATACTGAAAATTCTATTTCACTATAACTATGTAGTGGTATTGAAATTTGAAAGGCACTTTCACTAACCATATAGTGACTAAAGCCCTAGCGGTAGTGAAAATTTCGATGTAGTGCAATATACTCAACCTTGATAATAGTTAGATTTTCATCACATTTTAAAATAAAAATACATTGTCGTTTATCTTTTTTCTTTGACGTTTCTCCTCTCTTTGCCAAAAATAGTCGATAAATCCGGGTTGTATCTTTTAAATACAGGATTATTTTATAACCGAATCCGGCTCATATTTTTTACATGGTATCCGGAATCCAGTTATCCGGCAAAATCTCTATCCGGCACATCCCTAGTTAGTTGTATGTATATGAACAATATTTTCACAAAAAGACGCGTGAAAAAAGGAATGATATATAGGCTGACTTCCAAACCGTCAATTGCTTTGCAAACGCACAAAGCATAATGTTCCATAACGCCGAACTACAAAATATTGGCAATTATACTTTTCCAAAACGCAACCAAGAAGTTATCGAAACGCATCGCTAGAGCAATCAGCGCATCAGAAACACAAAGTTCATGCTTCGTTTGTTATTGGTTACAATTGGTGTTAAAAAGGAAAAAAATTCAGAAAAATTGTTCATTGCTATATTGAATATTTAAAGGTATTTTTAATAAAATATTAAGTTAAAATATTTTTAAATTGCTTCATATAGCAGAAAAAAGTGATCACGGCACAGAGAAGAAACTTAACTTTTCCTTGAGTTGTGAGAATAGCAAGCACAACAAATTTGACGACTAGTAATCTGAGATTTGCCTGCGTGAACGGGGTGATTAACAAACTGGCTTTGTAAACATACTTTAACTCGAAATTCAGATCGGCAAACACAACTGCTTATGGATCGTCAGATTCAACCCAATTAATACAAAAACAGGTATAGCAAGTTGTTTAGTTAGTGTATATATGTAATCATGAAGAAACAAATATTTGCATTCATTGATGGTAAGTCCTATGCATTGATTTGTGCAATAAAATTACCCAATTTTTCTTTTTTAGTCGATCGCAGTTTAGACCTACATAGGTGTGCGATATGTAAATAAGTGGCAAAAACTTTCCGGGATGTTCTACAGATGCCAATAAAGATATACATACATACATAGGTTTGAATAAAAAAAAAAAATAAAAATTCAAACAAATTCTACACATACTTACACACTTTTCCGCTGAAGATAACGACATGTGCAAATGTGTATGTATATATTCGTTCTGTTTATTTAATTTTTATTTCTGTATGTAGTATTTACATATGTACACTTCATACATCATAAATACATATCACTTCATATTTTTAGTAATGTAATGTACAGTGTACTCCCTTCTACCTTCACCAAAATCATATACATATACATATGTATGTATGTTTTTTTTTATTATATTTTTATCAGTCCAAAGTAGCTGCGGTTATTGACATCTTTTAAAATAACATTTCGATCACTATGGAAATCGCGCAAATGAATTGTTTCATTCTCTTTGAGATATATGAGGCCGCTGGTGTGGCAGGTATGTATTTTGTGTGGCATATTTGTTGGTACTGTATTCAAGCATTGAAGAAAAGGCTTATGCCCATGGAATATCACGAAACCGTTCTGGTCGTGTGTATTGTTGTAGCACACCTGGGCGTATACGTAATAAAGGCCCGGTTCGCGTATGGTTAATACACCATTCTCCACTCTGAAGTAGTTATCAACGTCAATTTCATTCGACCAACTGGGATGACCGATATACATATCACCAGAGTATGCTATTTAATATAGAGAGGAAATCAATCAAAATAAAACGATTTCAACGATTACTGAAATTGCTGAATTTTAGAGAAGCAATAATTTTTTAAATCAATTTTAGAGAATTTTTTTTTGTAAAATCATTAAATATCTTTGAATATTAAAAGTGATAAATCGATCAAGAAGATGGCTATACAATACTTACAATCGACCCTTATACTGGCGTAACGGTCTGGAATTTTACGATTTAAATGAAAATGTGCTGCTGGAGTATTGGTTGCAGGGGGTGTTTGACGCGACGATTTGGCTGAAAAGAAGTAAATCACCAGGAAATTTTAGAGCGGATTATACATGTATGTACATAAGCACAAATTAGTGCTAGCGCAAAGCCTAAGGACTTTGAGTTTTTGGCGAGAATTTGAAGATAAACCAATAGGAACCAAACAAAATACTAAATTATAGTTTGACAATAACCTACCACTTTTTACTATAGCATTTTTATATCGCCGGTTACCCACGTGATGCCTGTGGGAATACTTTTTCACCACTTCCCGGTTTGCACTACTTTTTTGATCAATATTAACCTCAGATACTTTGCTACGATGGGATGGTAATCTGCAAATATATATATATATATATAATTTAGTTTCCTTACTAAATAATTTTAACATTAAAAAATTTATCAAGCCTCAATGGCTTTTTTTCTATTAGTAAAGTCAAATTACAATGCGAATTCATATAAGTCAGGGAGCCAAAATAACTGTTATCTCGAATTTAAAAATTGAAAACGTTGCCCGAATTCTGAAATTTAACGAAAACGTTGTTTCATAGCAGTTATTAGATGAAAAATATTTTTTATTTCGCCGTGAAGAGTTATAACCGAATGTTTATTTTTTACGTTGTCTAAATACGTAATATGATGAAACTTAAAGAGGAGTGAAATAACTGTTAGCAGACAATATAAAAATAAATGTTGGGTAATAACTGTTATCAAGCAATGTAAAAAATAAACGTAGGTAAATAACTCTTATTTGCGACGGAAAACATATTTATCCTACATAACAGTAATCAGGCAACGTAAAAAGCAAACGTTGGGTTATAACTATTATGGAACAACGCATTTCCAAGTGCAAAAATTTAGTATTTCGGTGGTGAGTGAGTGAAACGTGACTAGATCTATATTTTCTTTCCCTCTTCCTTCTTAACTACAACTAAAATTTGACAACGGATTTGTAGAATCGATGCGACCTAATATGAATTCGCCTTGGTCAAATTATGAAAATTAAGAATTTTCGACTCTCATTTGACTGCACTAATCGCAGTTCGCACTTTTTCCGGATGCAGACATTATTTCAATAGTGTTAGAATTGAAAGAAGCTAGAAAACAAATCCAAAATCGCCTTTTTGAGTTATCCTCAAGGGGCATATTCTGGTCGCACTGGTTCTTTCTTACCTGAGCATCAAAATTTCTCTTTGCTGATAATTAGATTCCTTTTCATTTTCGCTTGTCCCGCTTTTGATTTTAAATTTCGTATTTCTTTTATGATCTTCGCTCGATTGATCTGGTTTGATGGAACGAGGTTTACGCGCGCTACAAAATATATATATATATATATATACAGAATATATGTACATACATAAACAAAAAGTTAGTTCTAGAAAGTTCTGTTAGAGTAGAGAAAATAATGTAAATAATGTACCCTATCTTCTTTCGTCGTGTGGAATTAAATTTAGAAAAGTCACTATAAAAATCCCCTTCATCCGACATGTCCATTTCATCTTCGCTCTCATCATCTTTGTCATCTCCATCTGGAATGCCATCAACAGAGTCCTCTGCTTCATCATTTTCATCTTTATTATCCAAATCATCATCATAGTTCATAGCAGCCAATTTTTTTCTAAATTCCTCGTAATCAAATTCAGTTTCATAATCCTCTTCGTCTATGTCTTCATTATCCTCATCATCGATTAACTCGTTTTCGCCATTGTCAAATATTGTCGGCTTATCTATAAAATCGGGATTATGCTAAAAAAATGGAATTTAAAAAATGATATTGATTTTAGTGACTCGCTTAACGTAAACTGAAGTCGTCAACAATGGGCAAACTCATAAATACACTCTTAATAATGGAATTCACTGACAGGCTTACAGTCTTAGTAACTAGAGAGAAGTCTAACAGCCAGTTTCACCAAATTATTTAAGTGAAAATTACTTTAATTTTCGAATTTTCGGTTTCACCAATCAATTTTAATTTTGATTTAAGTGACCTATGCTCTGCACTTAAATAAAAGTTAAATCAGAACAACCACACTCAGAGGTGTTACACGTTTTATCACCTGATCATTGTGTATTTGCTGCTTACTTGTATACCAGCCCTGCTTTTACAACACAGCGTGCCAAAGCTTTCAAAAGCTCTCAGTACAAATGAAAGCGAAAGCTAGTCCTAGTCTGTTTTACAACCACTTTTTACACACTTAAATAAATAGTTTATTGAAACTGAAAATTATTTAAATGAGAATTAAATACAAAATTAAATTAAAGTTAATTTCCACTTAAATAGTTTGGTGAAACTGGCTGTAAGAGTAATTTTTATGAATAACCAAATATTTATATTAGAGTGGTTCAAAAAAAAATTTTTTTAAATTGATAAACGCTACCTCAAATTATCAAGAACGATAGAATACAAGATTGCGCATTCCTGCGGGTGATGACGTAAACTTAGCCACGAATGGAGGAGATGGAGAAGAGAAAAAAATGTAAACTGTCAAAACATGGAGGTCGCCACATTAAAAATTTGTTTATATTGACTGAACGCGTGAAAATAAAATTACTTACATATATAAATAGTGCACAAATAAAACGAAATGATAATTTTGCTTGGTAAGGAACATCTGGCATTCTCTTATTTTATTGTTCATATTTACAAATATATGAGTGTCGGTGAAACCTAATAAAAGTCCAGCGATCGCGAGGTAGACACAATTTGGGAATGGTTTAGTTATTTGCCCAATTATTTCGGGCTACTGTATCCGAATGGATGACGCGATCTAAAAAAAGTGAATACACATTTGTAACCCAAAATGAAAACTTCATTTTAAAACCTAATGGTCAACACGAAAAGGTCTTCTGCACAAAAAACCCGTTTAACCGGGTTTACATTTCTGGTGACAAAATGCTAATTTGAGACCATTTTCCAAAAGCTCCCCAGGAGCCTGTGGACGACTCCGACGGGTCGCGTATGGCTTTCTACACAGCTTGAACTGTTCTCTTTCTAGTGGGTTGAATATCAAGAGCCAGGCCCCTCCCTTTCTGCTCTCTAACACAAAAGCAGTGTGAAAAAGACTAAACGACCCAATTGCATACATACAAACATACATACATGTAAACATCTCTGCATGCATACAAACATTTGCTAAAATGACGTTACACGAACAGCTGATTCTGTCA